AAAGAGCCATCAGACCACCACAGATGGGGCCCAATAGGGCCGATGCCGATTCGGAGTCGCGGAGAACCTAACGGGTAACCGGGGCTCCGGCTCGACGTGCAGGAGAAGGAACGGGGTGGTTTTTAGTCAGTAAGAGTCTGAGACTCCCTCCCGCCTCACCCAGGCGGGAGCAGTCATTCGATGATTTTCCCACCGTAAAAAAAATACCTTCAAGAAATACAGACGTGTTAAACATTGAAGTCCCTTAGTCGGCTGTTACGACGCCCGCAGTAGAGGAGGTGAGGTGACAAATATATTTTACTCTACCGTCATGTCATTCACACGACACATTACTAAAGTTCAATTAACGCGTAAAGAACAATAGATTAAATATATTATCACGCGATAATGTCAACAAAATCAAAATTACAATCGCGTTTGATAAACAGTAATTATAAGAAAACCGGTAAGTGCTAGTTAGACGCACGCACGAACGGTTCTGTATCTATGGAAATACTAGCTTTTACCCGCGGCTTCGCTCACGTCACAAAAGGATAAAAAGTAGCTTATGTGACATATACATACAGCGCCATCTATACCAATGATTTCGTTTTTCCTCGAGAGTATTATATTTTTCCGGGATAAAAAGTACCCTATTATTTAATCCAGACTTCTAACTTTACGTTTGCAAAAATTCAAAGCAATCGGTTTAGTACTTACGGCGTGAAAGCGGAACAAACAAACAAACAAACAAACCAGGATATCACGCTGTATGGAAGGTCCTCCGTAAATATTTATCCTTACTAATATTATAAATCGGAAAGTGAGTTTGTGAGTTTGAGAACCGAGACCTCTTGCCCGGCAGTCGCACTTGCGACCACTCGGCCAACGAGGCAGTCACTTAGTCAAATAAAATAATAATAATAATAGGAATAGCGTCGTTACAGCGCAAAATAACCAGCGCTTAGCTTAATGCCGTGACCCACAGAGACTTGAACTCACGGCGCAAATTCACAGCACTAGACAGCATGGCTTATGACAGCTGTCTATCTTCGCACGGTTCTTGAGAGAACCTGGTAATAGATGAGATGCTGTGGTTGGCATGGGCGGCGTAAATTGCTTACCATCAGGTGGTCTGCTCGTCTGCCGTTCTATCCCACACAAATACTCATTTCAGTTACTACGGACTTACCTTCGGTGCCTCTGCCGTCTGGACACGAGTCAATCAGGGTGTTCCTCCCGATGGGTCTTCATGTGCAAACTCCATTGATTACGAGACGCAAATCTAGGAGAAACAGAATACAATATCATTGTAGTAGTCATGGCAGTAGGCGTAGAGTTCAATAAATATAATAACTCTTTGTTATATTTAGCACATAGTCTGGAATACGGTGGTTGACAGGTAGTCAAATTCAATACTTTTATCAAAACATCAAAAACGATACTGTTCTGTGAATTTTGTACGAAATACCATCTTATGACGTCATCATATTTTCGCATCAAAAAGCACTTATATCTAAAAAATGCTAGTATAAATCGAAAATTAAGTATATCGGCAGATCAATGAATGAAAGTGTAACTATTTTTCAATATTTATTTGGACTGAAAAATTAAATTAATTTATTTTTGACCCAGGAAACTACCCAATTGTGTCTGGTGTATGCTCTATGAAATGCTTTGACAAAGTTCAACAGATTTACGACCTTATTACAATACCATAAAGTTGAACCTTGTCCGTCCTTACTATTGCTCTTACTCAATGGAGACTCAGAAGAGCTTCTTTAAGGTATTTTCAACTTTATCACGGTACAGTAGCCATGAATTTCAATGTCCTTATCGTTGCTCACACTGATCACATATTAACATATTTTGCTTATTAGTTGTGCACACATTCGACATGAGTTGCACAGGTCGAAGCTTTGATGAAGTACATCAGAATTTCAACTGTATTGCAATGGTTATAAAGTAATTATTGCAGTCATTGTTACATGAAATAACTTTGGAATGGTCGTTTGAACAGGATTTACGACCTTATTACAATGTATATATAAAATTTCAAACTGGTTATATACTAACTATTAACCTTATTGCAATACTTACAAGGTTGAAACTCCTTATCATTAGTCACCCATCATTCCTTGCTTATGCACAAACTTGACATGAGTTGCACAAGTCGAGGTTATCATGAACTTAGATTTACGACTTTATTTCAATAGCTATAAAGTTAAAATTACTTACTGTTGCTCACACTGGTCACATCCCAACATTCCTTGCTTATGCACAAACTTGATATGAGTTGCACAGGTGGATGCTCTCGTGAACTTCTTCTTGCAGAATCGACACTCGTGAGCACGAATGTTCAAGTGAGAACGGAGATGGTTCGTTAAACTGAGGACAAATAAATTAATATCATAAATTGTGAATTTTGTTAGGACCCATGGATGTATGTATGTCTGTGTACATTATTGAAACAAGTTTATTTTTTTGACTGTATTGCAAAATAGTTGAATGTATAGTGCTTCTTGGTTTGAAGCACTATTTTATATTAATTGTCAGTATACATATGTGAGCACCATGTTAGACTATAAGCTATTTCTTTTCTCGTTGTTTTGTTTATTATTTTAGTATGTTCTGTACCTAATTTGTATTATGTGTTATTGTTGTACAATATTTGAATATGTATCAGAGACATTGTAAAACAGACTTTTTTAAAAAAAGTAAAGATTGGAATTCTTGCTCGTTCTTCTCCAGTCGAATCTACATTTTGAAACAAGCACCTAGCTTGACTGACAGTCTGACAGACTAATATTTATTTTATATTTGTTGATGTTTCAAAAGTACCGAAATTATGGTTTAATTCAAATAAATATTTTTGAGTTGGAGTTTGCTCTTCCACAATTTTTTTTAAGGAATAGACCGGCAAACGAGCGGGCAGGTCATCTGATTTGGAGTAGCACATACAGGCTACTTTTTAATAAAGAAACACAAGTACAACTGTTGGAAGAAGTAAGTTAATTAATTGAGTAATAAAATTAATACCAAAAAAACATATTTGGATGCCTCCCGGTCAAATACGTCTGAGTTCGCAATGTAAACACCTAACTAAACACCACATGTTTTAATTGAAAATTAATGGCTTAACAGGCTTCGATTGTGTTCAAAGCCCAGATTGGACAAAGAATTATTAAATTTTACGGTTAAAAAAAGTTACAACGAACCCAGTCCTCCCCCTCAGTTTGACGCCACATACAGTACACTCGACCAATACCCCCGTGTGCACTAACTCATGTCGCCGCAACAAGTACTGCGCTGAGAACCCGCGCCCGCACTGATCACATATGTACTTCTGTTTATCTGCGCAGTGTACCTTACGTATGTGGGCTTTTAGGAGCTTTGTGGTTGTGAATGAGCGAGTGCAGTTCGGCTGTAACAAAATTAAATGTTATTTATTGTTATTAGTTAGTTGGAAGTTTTAATTCCAAATTAGGTGCGCCTGTTGAAGTAATAGGTAGTTGAGGTTCAATAATCATAAGTGTGGGAGTGCCATACTTCGGCACAAATGTGCTGTATCGACCGGAGTGATACCGCAGCCGAGCAGAAAATGCTTGCATTGTATTTTGTTGTGTGAGTGAGGTTACCGGAGGCCCAATTACCCAATCTCACCATTCCCTGAATCCTAACAATCCTCAAATTCGTAATCCCCAAAGTGCAATCCATAATGCACTTGTAACGCCTCTGGTGTTCCAGGTGTACATGGGCGATGCCGATTACGCTTACCATCAGGTGATCCGTCAGCTTGTTTACCGACTTATCCCATAAAAAAATATATGTAGGTATGTATGGATTGTCGCAGTTTGTCGGTGATGATAAACTGTTATATTCACCCCTATAAGTGTCATGTTATGCTAGTGTAAAATAAATAATTTTATTACCTGTGGACATTGTAACTGTGACGCATCTAAGTCCATAAGATACTTCTTGTATTGCTTTCCGGCCTCCTTTTTTATTAGCACATTTTCCATAACAGTGATTTCAGTGTGTTCTTCTATGTCTAAGAACAAAATATAATCTTGATTACTTATGCTTGCTTGCTTTATTGGGTTATTTATTTTACTTAAAGGAAATTAAACAGTAAGTGGTTTATTTTTCAAACTATATGCTAGTTATATGTACTTAGTTACTTTTCATCAATTAAAAATAAATTGAATTTATACTTATATGATAATTTCCTTCTATTTTCCTACATTACACCTTTAACCCATATATCCCCAAGCGATCACCGATGACCACTCACCACTAGCTACATTATAGACCTTATTTCCAATGTTTAGAGACTACTTTTGTATGAATAAATTTAGGGGATGATTTTCAATGGGTAAAAATAAAATAATTACATTTTCTAAATGCATGATTTACCTTTCAATGCATTTTCGTTGTTTGAAATGTTTTTCAATGGCTCAGCAAACACTATACTGTCTAATTTGTAGTAACTCGGTGGATTTGGTTGTAGACCAAGTTCTTTTAGAGGCTAAAACAATGAATATTTGTAGTAGATTCAAAATGTATTAATAATACTATGGTAGGCGATAAAAACAAGTGTTATAAGTCGACACTTATAACTAAATTATTTGTTTTAATTACGAAGGAGATAGACCATACATATAACTAAAAAATAATAACTATAAAGAAGGGTAATGTGAAAAGATTTGTGCAACTTACATCGTCTGTTTCAGAGTTGATATTTACACTTTGACTGTGTTCATCACTTTTAATGTATGATACATTAATAAAATTGGTATCTTCACATTCCATTTCAAGTGTTTTCTTTGTCTAGAATATGACGAAGGATATAAAATCAAGAGCTTTTGCTTACTTTGCGATCGATCACTACACTCTTGTAAAATTTCTTGACAGTTTTTGAAAGGATTTTATTGACATGGTAGCATTGGTAGCATTTTGACATTAACTGCATATATTACCACTTTTCTATTAAAAAAATTACCTAATAATTTGATATCCATTACAGTTAGAAAACATAGATAAGGTTGATAAAATTTAAGATAGGTATTTTGTAAAATTCCTGTGTGTATGACAACAGAAAGCGTTGAATTAAAAATGTTAACTTTGATATGTTATCAGAAGTATTTACTACTAATTACTTCTAAAAATGAATTTTTTTTTGATTAGACAATGTGCTTGTAAGATTTACGTTTAATTTCACCAGAAGCTGCTAAATTTTACTTTCTTTTCTAATAATATTTAAGTGTTTAATATTTATGTACCATTCATATATATTATGAAATAAGTAATGTATCTACAGCAATGGAAAAATACATACGGATTATTCTACTACAAAGGCGTAAGAAAAAAATTATGCAATTGTCAAAACTGACTAAGAACAAAACGCATTTATTATTCTCTACCGAAGCGTGTTTCATGCGAATTTATTTTGCTATTAGATTAATTGCCGCTACTCTTGTGCTAAAATACTTTTAAAACGCATTCAATTAACTTAAAGCGTAGTTTATTGTGTAATCTAAATCTAAGTGTTTTAGTTTATAAATAAGACAACATGGTTGTTGTATCTCCATCGTTTTCTGTACCGGCCGAAGGTATTTTGATGCAATTGCCTTCGGTTAATTTAATAGTAAATAACGATGTGGATTTGGGTACGGCAACGCTGTACATAACTGAACAGTAAGTTTATGAATGAATTATTTGATTTCAGGCATGATAAGTCGCAGTTTTCCTTGAATTTCCCACGTTTCCTTGGACAAGTCACGAACACGTTTTCTTTACAAAATAACAAAGGGAACAATAGAAAAAGTGAATTTTCTAATTACTTAACTCTATTATAAATATGTAAAATATTATTTATTAAACGGATAAAAGTTTATAAAACAATAAACACATTTATAAAACAATATTGTTTACGTAAAATTGTGTGATCAGCTGAAATGTGTAAACACTACGTAGTTATTAAACTGTTGACCTTTCATGAATGACAATTAATGAGAGCGAGTGAAACCTGTAAAAAGGTCAAGTAGGGTCATCTGTCCCATTTAACTGAACAAAAATTAGACAGTTAAAATTAAGTTTAATTAGCTTCAAATTTCAACTTATATGTACTAATGTCTGACAGTGCATCTTATTATATAGATTTTATTGGTTGTTTAACTTTAACCTGTTGAAATATCATATCCTAAGTTTGTGCATACAAAAGTAGTCCGTGAACATGGGAAATAAGATCTCTAGATTGTAGTTAATGGAGAGCGGTCCCCGGTGACCACTTGGGGATAAATGAGTTAATTAGAAGTCAAAGTATTAATTACAATTAGCCACTTTTTGAAACATCAAATTGAATGGTTAGTGAAGCTGGATGCTCATTCCAATGTGTAGTTTCTAATGGAGAAGATCTAGCAAGAAACTCCATTGTTACTCTTCAACATAGAAACTCTTTAACATAGTATTGCTATATTCTTAATTGATAGTGGATTTCCCACACGGGGATAAAAAAAAAATATTATTAGAAATTCTAATAAGCATAAAACTCTTTGACCTAAACAACAAAATCTTAACATTGCTTGTTTCATCTGGATAGTAGATAGATAATAACTAGCTTTCAAAAAAGGTAGAAAATAACATCCATTAACCCATGGTATGCCGGGAGCGTAGATATACGCGAGATACAATATGTTTTCTATTGTGTCTTATATGCCAGCAGATAAGATGTTAAGCATTGATAGATGCCTAATATTGTAAATTGGCAATCATATTACAGTGCCAAAATTGAAGATATTGTTAGATAATACATTTAATACATTTTTAAACTAAACTAGCAAACTCGGCGAACTCTGTTTCTCCACCAGATGGCTTCATTTTATATACCATTTCGTTTGGTGATTAAACTGTCAAACACCAAGCGGTCACCGGTGACCGCAACCTATTGTGTCTATAATGACGGTACTCAACGAGTTAAAAGAGAATTTTCTTTGCTATAAACCTCACGGAGCTTGAGACCTTTCCATTGAATGCAAAACTGTAGAAATCGGTTCGTACATTTTGGAGTTATAGCGTCAGGAAGGAAAACCCGACTTATTTTTATATAGTAGATTAGTTAATGTTTCCGGCTTACTTACGTAACTGTTTGATGAGGAACTTGACTAGTTTCAAGCCGTTGTGGAGGCTCATATTCATGACAATCTCTTACTTTCATCATGTATAGAAAAGCTTTTAAAATTGACATAAATAATTCCAACTCCATATTTCCTCTTCAGCAATGTGGTGTGGGGCGGAGGAGTGGGCAGACAAGGAGGTCCGTCCCCTACAGTGACCCTCATGTACCCAAACATCTCCCTACACGCCATACAGAGGGACCCTGGACCAGGACTCATTCTGGTCATCAACCATGAACTTAGGTAAGAAAGTTCCTATTCTGTGACCTCCAAATTCACACAGAGAGCAGGCAGCAGAGAGGCAGTTAAAATGATTATTTTATTTACTGCACAGTTTACCAGAAATGACGCAACAGGGCGCTGGCGACGCGCCGGTAGATGATGACGATGAATACGATGCTGATGAGGAGCCCATGACCAAACTAAGGTATTAAACAATGTCATTCTCATTTTACATGAACAATAGTAAGAACCAATCAGAAACTATTTTAAGTGTGGGAGAGCCATGCTTCGGCACGAATGGGCCAGCTCGACCGCAGTGATACTACGGCCTCACAGAAAACCGACGTGAAGCAACAAATAAAAAGCCGGTAACGCACTTGTAACGCCTCTGGTGTTCCAGGTGTCCATGGGCGACACCGATTGCTTACCATCAGGTGAACCGTCTGCTTGTTTACCGGTGTATCCCATATAAAAAAGTCTACGCGTCATTCAGACAAATGTAACATTTCTGCCTACCAGTTCGGGAATTAAAAAGCGTGACATTGTGTATTACTGATTTTAGGTTCGTTCCACAAAACGACAATGATTTAGAAGCAATGTTTGTGGCAATGAACCAGGGCCAGTCCTTGCACCCAGACCCTGCAGACGAGATCGATGAAGATGAAGACCCTTACATGGATGGAGAGGAATTTGATGAAGGTATTTGCTTCAGTATCATTTATTTTGTGATATGAGCCTACAGGTTCTTTAGTCGCACCGTGGTTTGAGGATTATGTGGACTCGCTACAAGTGATTATGTGACTGCCTCGTTGGCCGAGTGGTCGCAAGTGCAACTGCCGGGGCTTAGGGTCTTGCGGGAGAATTCATTGGATGATTTACCCCATACAAAAAACAGGAGTCCCTGTACAATATGTTGGTATACCTACTTATTACGGTTTACGGTTACGGTTTAAGACATTAATTTCTCAAAAACAATTTACATTGACTTGACTAAGAAATACAAAATATACTCAAATAGGTACAGAATGCAAATCAGTGCCCGAAATATCCGTATTTATGAACAACCAAAATATTACATTAGGTACATACATACTTAAAACATATTAATATTATAAACACTTATTTAATGTTATACCTGGTTCTTTCCTAGGAGAAGATGAGTTTGAAGACGCAGAAGAAAGCAATATGTCCGCCGAGGACGCGGCCGCGAGGCTCCGGCAGATGAGGCTGGAGAACGTCAACGGTACACATGAACAAGTAAACAGTGAGTAAGATTTTCAATATCATGACCCGAAAGACGTCCTCAACTGTATAAAACCTCACCCTTACTACCATCGCTCTCAATTTAAAGAATTATATTATCTAAGGGTCTCTATATACAGGCGCATACATATAGCAAATTTCCAATTAATTAACATTTAACGCCATGGGGGTCACCGGTGACAAACGTTAGTGGAGGATTTACCTTCAACAGTTTTTTTAATGGCAGTCAAAGCCTTAACAAACTCAACCTTATCTCCACAGCGTAATGCACACAATATGTTTGGCCATCTCACCTAGTGGTAAGCGATTTCAAAGACGCACGAATGCGCGCGAACGAACGTACACCAATGAGCGAGATTTAAATCGATTTTAAGTCCGATGCGCCCGCGTTACATTTTGCCATCGGCACAAATACACTAGAAGTAACATAATCCATAATATTTCAGATGAAGCAGAGGATGCAGATATTGCGGAGTGATCAGCTAAACATATTTGTTAATTATTATTATTACTTGCTTCTTCTATCTCTATTCTACTACACACATACTTTAATACTCGATAACCTCATATGTTGAATATACATCAACAGTCAATGAGTGCCCACTGCAGAGCAAAAGCCTCTACTCACATGGAGACGGTTTGATCATTAATCACTACATTTGCTAAATACAGTATACAGAAATGGCAAGTTCAGATAAATATAAGTATAAAGGGCATTGATTAAAATTGGTGCCTTTCTTTTTTTCTGGCGGCAGTCGATGATTTATGGAAAATATTATCTAGAATGACATTACAAACGAAATTGTCTATGGGCTTATATATGGAAATCTCAGTCTGGACTGAGTTATGAGCGTTGAAAGGAGCTGGAGTCAAACATTTTACTTCGGTTTTTTATTCAAATTATTCATAGTTTTGTCACAATTTCTAACTTCAACTTGCGCGCCACTGTACTCCGGGCACTGGAAAACCATATCACACCACAATATATTTATATTGCCGGGCATTAATTTTTATTACCTATTTTCTCTCAGTCGATAACTTGTGGGATGCTTCTAGGAGTTGTGTCATGAAGCTTCATGAGCGTCAGCTGTGGTACCAGTGGTGGGTTGAGTAGTGGTAGCCGTCCAAACATCTAATAAAGTATATTTTTTTTGCCATTGACTCCTGGTAGGACACCCATCTACTTAATATAGTTAGCATAATCGTGAAGAAAGAAAACCGTCGACTTTTAAAGTGATCAGCGCTATTCAATCCGCTACCGACGCCGCAGCTGACAAACATAGCATTTCATGATAGGGCTCAGTAAAGTATTTTGAGGGTTTTTGACTGAGAGGAAATTGATCATGAAAATCTGTCATAGACCATAAACCGTATACATAATAATATAAATTGAACACGCTAGTCAATCAAGCGAAATGTTTCTTTTTCTTCAGCAGTGGTCAGTTAATGGTTCACGATGTTCTGATTCAGTGGCCTCATAATAATAAAAAAAAAAGTAAAAAAGTCCACAATAAGCTTTATTATATTCCTTGAAATCGTCTATAAACATTTATTACAAAATATTTCTGACAAGTAAATGAAGAAATATGCGTTGTGTACGGTCACCATCAACAAAATCACAGGGATAATATAGCACTATTTTCACATCTTTGAACTTTTTGAACTCGGTTTGGACTGTGTTTTTGATGTAGACCCCATATATTTTTTTGTTTGTAATGTTATTCTGCATCAGTTTCTCCACGTCCGATCAACTGCCGCGAAAAAATGAAAAGGCACCACGCTCCATACAAATTTGGTCATTGTCATTTTGTCTGTTCTTTTAAAGTGTGTGTGTGTGTAGGTATTATTTTTAATGAGATCTAGTTGTTTTATGTCGTGAATGTTTGCCCACTCAATCTAAGTGTATGCCTCGGTATTAAATATATTATAGTCATTTAGGGATATTAGACCCTACAAACATGTTTTCTTTTAGTAGTTTTGAACAATTGTTTAACAGTGTATTAGTTCGAGAAGCTAGTAGCTTCTTTGAAACTTTATTTTCTATGAATATAGCTCGATATGAAATAGAAATTAAGAAGATATAACAGAAAAAAAAAACAAATCTCAATAACCCTTTCTTAGTCCAGTCAAAGATTATTTTTCTGTTGGCTCTACAATACATTTATGTTATGGGGCATAATTATTAAATTTGGGCAAAATAATATCGAAGTAGCTTTAGTAATTTCAAGCAATAATTCTGCCTAATTGTGACCTACATATGTCCAATTTGACTAAAATCTCAATTACCTATGTTTCTATGTAATGTCGAAGTTACATAATTGTATTAAGTATCTTCGAAATGAGGCGTGTTTTTAGCCAAAAATAAATTATTTCTACATACTTTTCTATACCTATAGTAAAAATATTCAAAAATAATCACATTGTCAATAATTAATTCTATGATATTCTTCATATTCTATGTACCTATGTTTGTAATTTTCCAGCTGATTTATGATAATCGACAAAATTCATACAATATTGTCGTTTTTCAGTCTAGAAGAAAGTTGACTTATAATAACATCCTTTGTAATGTTCCTGTCTCTCTCACTCTTAACTATATTGGCTATATGAAATAATGAGACAAGAATATAGACAAAAAATACACTGTTGTTGACCTTAGAGGCGTCTAAAAAAGAAATATTTTATTGATTTTTAAGTCATTTATATAAAATTATATATCGATAACAGTAGACTAGAAATTCAATTTTGTGCGTTAAATATAACAAGTTCAGGCAGAAAGTTTAGATAGCCGATTTATGATTAAAAAAAATTAATAAGTATTAACATCCCAAACATTCAACAAAATAAAGATGATTAATTGAAGTCGCACATCGTCAACACATTTACATTGGATGGGCATAGACATGGGCAGCGCTGAGTGTATACCACTGCAGGTAATCGTCTGCGAGATTTCCCTTCCTTTAGATCGCCAAAGCGTAAACGCATCGCCAGCCCCTCCCCCCACCCCAAGCCACAAATTCAGCGCAAATACCTACAAAAAAATCGGGATTCCAACACCTTATCTCTTGACTTCTCCCACCTCGGGTGAGGGGAAAGTGTCAGGCTCATACTGACTCTACTCATGCTTCGAGCCGGACCTACAGTAACATGCAAGGTTGTCCGCGGCCTCGGTCGGACAAAAGGCCGGTAACGCTTACAAGTGCGTTGATTTTGACTTGATTTTATGTATAGTAACCTACCTATATTATGTATCTTTATATTTAACGCAAAGAATTGTAATTTCTAGTATAAATTCAACAGAATATAATCATATGTATTATGTATATATTTTTGTATCAGTAACTTTTGCACATAGCTGCTAAAATGTAGGAACTATATTTTCGACATTCGAATACATAATGTAGTCGAAAATTATTTTTTGTAATTCCTTCTTTTAATATAAGTGGTGCTTCCTACAATGGAGTCAATGACTTCAAATTGTCATAATTCTTATGTATAATTAGATTTTCAGCTACTAACAACTAAAAACTACCGCAAAGTTAAGTTCGACAGTTCATCAATTTTGCCGTCACCACTCGACACTGGCAGTATAATCGATAACACCGTTTTGGAGACACGGTTGCCAAAGAAAAAAAATAGATTATATTCGTTTTTGGCGGTTACTTATCAAATACATGCAATAAAAAGCTTATTCACGGCTATATATTATGAATGTTTTTTAAAAGTATGTGTGTTTATGTATGTTCTATGCAATGACCCGTTAATGGAAAGTACTGCATGTTGCATCTAATTTTGAACGCATGACGATTGATTTCGCTAAAATAATAAGATTTTGTAGAAAAGAGAAAGAAATGATTAACCGGTTCCTATGAATATAAATTATATTTTGTACTATGTATTTTTTATTTTTTAGTAATAAAATATGAATGAGGGGTGGTTGATAGTTTGCGGTGAGTGAACAGTGAACTCGAATGGTAATACTAGTTTTATTTTTGTCGCAAACCGCCTATTCATTGCTTTGTTGATAAAAATAAATTACTGTATAATAAGACTGTATAAACAGAATTCTCCATATAATATGTGAATTGTATAGTTTCTCACTAAAAGGGTGTTAAATTTTGACTAAATGTATGTTTGTAAGTTCGCACCTATCGAACGGATGGACCGATTTCGAAGCGGTTTTGTGTCAATTTTAGCGAATCAATCGTGCGAGTTACGTTTGTTATTCGTTGATTTTATTGGACTGTCAAGCAATGTACGCTCAAATGCATGTAGTATTTGTATTCCAAATATGTAGTGTATGCAAACTTGAATAAATAAAACCATATCAAAATATTTCAACCGTATCATTTCTTCTATATTAGTAGCTATACACAATAATAAACTGTATGTAGTTGATACCAGTGTAAAACTTCGTAAAATATAGAATAAAAATGAGAAAATAAAAGACAAATATTACACTACTATTTTATTAGGAAAACACAATACATTATAGTTCATCTTTATTTTAACAATTAAGAAATATAGCGTCGTGTGAAAGAACCAGTACATTTGTACTTTTAGAATCATGCACGAAAAACGTTACTATAAAATAATAAAAAAACTTTTTCAACATAACGTTTACTTAATGATTTCAATTTTTTACTACAATACTTATCTATTTTCCGAAATATTGTTATTTTTGTACCAGTCAAGGACACGTTACAACATTTGATAATTAGCTTAGCTTAATTATTTATATCAATTATTTTCTAGCAACCTCAACACTATATGCGACGTGAATCGCTGAAAGATACTATTTTACATGTCACGCTTGAGGCTCGACGCGCTCTGAAGATATCTACGCCCGATTTGTTCGCAATATTACCCTACATAGTACTTCATAATCTTTAGTGCAACATACATTAAACTTAAATTAAGCTATAATTTCTAACTCCATAGCAATAAATAAAATTATGCTTCATTTTTAATACATATTGCCACATTTTGCTGTCGAACTTGATTCGAGAGCAACATTACAAACACATTTTAATGTAATTGAATATTTTCGCTTATACAATAATATCGGTATCGCCTATACCCTAAATAAAACATACCCCACTGTATACCTAATAAATCTTCGTTCTAATATAATTATTACGAACAAAACGGCTGTGTATCAACATTTTTTACAACAAAATATCGGCGCATTAGCCTCGGAACGGGACTTTTCATATTCGAAGTTGATAAATATTGTGTGCCTTTGCTAACAATTCGAAACGCCACGATAGATGACCATGACCTGAGTAGAAAGAGAACTTGTTTTATGGGCCTATTGGCTCAAGACTATTTTCATTTCTTGGCCTATGTAACTACAATATACTTATTTGTATCTAATGTGAACACTGATCATTCATAACCGTAACCCTATGTAATTATGTATCTATTGAAACTATACCGCGCCGTTTCAAATCGCGCAGTCTTAAATATTTTAATTGTACAACAAACGGAGTAACTAACACATAGACAACTAACGCGGAAACACGTATGTAATGCATTTAACGACAACATAGCAACTAAAAGTACAACTACATTAATTATAATAATTATAGAGTAATATGTAATTGAATTATTCACTCATAAATTGTATTAAATACAAGGAGAATAGGAGAATGAAGAAAAGATGAATTTTAATTAATTTTTAGCTTTATTTCAAGGTCAAACATAATATTAAATTATTAATAACACAACCTTCACGCTTGTATCGAGCTTGGATAGGCAGACAAGTCAATTTTATCGTTAATTACATTACATGCGACCAGAGTTCGATACTGATTCGCAAACGCTTATATTGTGTGTTTTGAAAAGAACATTTGATATTCCTTTTTCTGAAGTTTCATCATCAAATCAAGTGATATTGTTGTTATATTGTTGTTTATCAATAACTCGAATCTAGATTTTGACCTACAAATTACAATTTGCATAGTCTGATCCAGATTAGGCTGAATGTCAGTATTTTACATGGAGCAACCGCCATCTGCCGTCCACAACCCGCTAAGGGTGATACCATATTATTGATACTACCAAATGTAATTCCAAACGCCACATTGAGCATTCGCGAACCAGTACAAAGAACATACTTACCTACATAAGTCAACTTCGAATATATATTTTGTAAAAAAATCATTAGTATTGTACAACAATACATTCAGTACTAGACATCGTACCGCCCGATAGCTCAAAGTACCACATGGTACTTAGTCAATTTATACGTCAGGGTTCATTTAGACAGACAAAGACTGAATTGTATGAAAATATACTTTAAAACTAGGGATTTACGATTGATTGTTCATGAATCAAAGCTGTATATATGTCTCGGCGGTGACTGGCTTATTTTTGGACCAATCTATCAAGACATTGTCCAGTCAACTGATGGAATGTTGACTTCAGGAAGACAATTCCAATCTACCGCCGAGACATATTCCTCCAGTTTTAAATATTCTTTTAAAAAAAAAAGCGTCAAATGTTAGCCTATCCGTGTAGTCCTCAATAAAGGAAAGGCACGAACGATTCCTGAAGGCGCTAATATCAAATCTAATATAAAGTTTTAGACTAAAAAAATGCGTCAACGAGGCGGTTTATTTATAATAACATTTAAGTTTAAAACTAATTTAATATTGTGTTTGGCTAAAGTGATGTGTAGAATTGTGAAATTATGTGAGTGAACAGTCCTTACGTAAGATATGTATAACATAACGCCTGCCAAACAAAAACCCGAACGTTTAAACCAACTATGTGCTGTCCAGATACTAGCTCAGTTACCATCACGCCGTTGTGGTAAGTGGGTTGGCTGTAGGTATGACGTCGACAGTCTTGGGTTCGACGACCTCTGGCGTTCCGTTGACTTCAGTACGTTCTTCGCTCATTTCTACGTCAGTTTTGTCTGGTTCCTGCGACTTGGTATCGCTGTCCGTGGTCTCCTGGCTGGAGGTGTCGGTAGTCTCTGGTTTGGAGTCCTCCGTCTGTGTGTTCTCTGGTTCGGTCTGCTCCGTGTCTGTTTGTTCGTCGGCTGACTTTGTTTCTGTTTCTGCGTCTTCCTCTTTTTGTTGTGGGGTGTCTGTGGAAGGGAATATTGTTAGTAAACTGGAATATTGTCTGTTGTGGTCCGACTTTTAGTTCGACTCAGTAAACTGACGTAAGCTACAGTCATTTTGTTAAATAAATGCTACTATACTTTAAAAGCAAATGTGTACCATAATTATCATTTCATGCTTATCGCAATTAGTTAAGTACCATAATATTTAATTTATTAATCGATTTACTCCTAAATTGATTAGTTAAACAACAAAATCATTCATTTATCACTTTACTGAATCAAGTTAAAAGTCAGTATATGTGTATTTGGTGGCAGCAAATTCATGCGGACATCACCTGGGTATCGTCGTGATCCTCGGCAAAGAGGGATACGACTGGGGGAGCAAACAATAACGTTTATATAAATTGGAAAGTTAAGTAGGAATACTTATGTAGTCAGTATAACAATAACATACATTATCAATAGTGAAGTGGTAATGGTTAATAATTGTTGTTCAATCACAATAACATATTGCTCAAAACGTCTAAAGAAAGTCGAATAACTGATGTATTTTATCAGTTTCTTGTTTTTTACGCTTAAAAATAAAACATAAAAAAGATGAGGTGAGTTTTGGTATAAATTTCGATTCCACAGTCGAGACAATTATAGGTTATTTCGCAAAGCTACGAAATAAAAGTTGCTAATATTATGACAAGTTAAACTTACCAGTTTCATCAACTTCCATTGGTGTTTCTTTCTTCTCATCACCGTTCACCTTCTGAAAGTTTCAGGACAATATTATAAAATAACTAATCAGAATTTAACTTACATGTATATGATGTTATGGTTCTTCCATCAAATAAAATACCTTGTTATAAATACTATCACCCATTGTTTTTATAATAACTATCGTGAGACATACTTAATTAACTAAAAATTGTGGGCTACTCACGTGAATATACGCAGAAACGCTCTACTAGTTTCGAGCCACAGAGGGGCTCTTCCTCATGAGCCATGAGCAGCGAGCATACTCCTCTGTGACTCGAAACTAGTAGAGCTATTTTCAGTATATACACGTGAGTAACCCGCGATTTTTACTGAACTCTCACCTTGTCACAATAAAATGATTAAAAACCTTTAAAAACATTTATTCCTAATCCCCATGCATCTTCTTATGTTTACGTTGCATTCATTCACATTTCGTCTTCACTCTTGTAATGCAGACGAGACTACCGTACCATACATACATATTTCTATTGTAGTCATATGGACATACCATTCATATAACTCTCAAAATTGTGTATTTTGTAAAATCAATATAGTTTTACCTGATTCAGAGTATACGCCATCATGCTTGGCTATCAACTCTTATTATAAATAAATAAATTAATTATTTATTTATTTATTTCTTCTTCACAAAATACATCAGTGAATGGCGGACTTAATGACTTACTACATACTACATAACAAAATACATTTAACTACATAATGTAAAAAAAATAAACAAAAAATCTAACTAAAAAACACAGAAAATAAATAGGACAACACAATAGACAAAACATAACTAAAAAAAATGCAGAAAACAAATAATTATATTGCTCCATCACCAATTTTAAACTAATAAGTATTATTACGGCTAATCCATCTACTATTGTTTCACCTTTACCTACCTATAAACCTACTATAATCATTTCATTATGTTGCACTTGTAAAAACATATTTTGACCCATAAAACTAATAATTTGAAATTGTTAGCCGTTTTCTGGCTTGTACAGTCTTAACTATTAATTTCGAACGAGATAAAACAAACCGCTATTCAAATAGATTGTTTGTGTCATTCGATTGCTAGACTATCGACTGTCTTTGCTGCACAACTCAAAAAATTTGCATGAATATATCATATCATATTATGCGTATCATATAAGGCGTGATGTTATGACATCACGCCTTTTTATCCCCGAAGGGATAGGCAGAGTTGCACATTATACGGCACTTTATGCCATTGTACAATGTAACACCCACTTTTCACTATTTATGTTAAGAGTCCCATGTAATAGAGGGTGAGCCTATTGCCTTATACCGGGCTTTGTATAGTAATACTTTGCCCGACCTGGGAATCGAACCCGAGACCCTTTGCCCGGCAGTCGCACTTGCGACCACTCGCTCAAAATGAGGCAATGGATATATAATCATTAACTTTATTCCAGACTAGGTTCACCCATATCTTAGTATACGGTGTAGTCTCAGCTATCCGTTCCCTATGGGGAAAGTATAAATAATACACATTTTCGTTCTATAATCAGCAAAATAAACCAAGTGGTCGTATATTACGACAATTTTTACAAGTGCAACATGGAAAATGATTCAAACGCCACATTGTAACAACTATCAAGAACCTAATTCCGGCGTGCCTTTTTCCGGGAACTCTTGGCGCTGCTGGCAGACGACCCTGGCTGGGGGCCACGCTTTTTATCCTATAGTAGATAGACAATTAGTTTTTTAAGTACTTTTAATACTCAAAATACTGGATTTTAGCAGTACTTTGTAAGCGACTCACGCATAAGTTGATGTAAATGGTAATTCGACTGAAAATACGTGTAGGAGGCGCCATAAATTATGATATTTTACTAAGATAGTGCGAGTTGTGATCATGTTTATTTGATAATCATCAGTCTAGCTTGTAATCAACAAATATGACAGAAGTTATGTCCCTATGTGTACTTTCTGTAAGAAATAGTTCTTTTAATAGTTGTTAAGTAAATACTCGTAACATTGCATTATTATAGCCTCAATTTGTTCAGACATTTGTATGTAGATAGATAGATGGATAATGTCAACAGTTAAAAAACCAAACCTATATGTTAATAACTTTATTATCAGTAGATATCATAAAATAGTTTTACTACTATCTATCAACAGAATCCCCTAACATTTCTAATCAGTGTAGTGGGGCGTTTATCAGTTCCTTATCTATTTACATTAAGTTGACACACACTAGAGTTGAATTATTGATCCTATGGTAAATTGGTTCTAGGTTACGACTTGTATATTATCAATGTAAAACCATCATAATTTTTATTCTTTGTTTTTTGGACTGTAAACATCACATGAAGTTGTTTTATTTCCGTCGAAATTATTATTATTTGCTGTGAAAACTAGCCCATTTTTGCATAGATCTGACTGAGTACCATCTCTTGATAATTATTCTTCTTTTCAAATACTCAATTAATGCTCTTTAATGATTTTACATGCAGAAAAAAACAAACATAAGCATGAAAAAAGTCCTTAAAGATTTTTATAGAAGATATCTTACCTGTGGTTTAGCCTCCTCCCCTACATCGCTGGGCTGTGCGCTGGAGGTGGAAGAGATCTCTCCCTCCTGTTCATTCTTCGGCCGCTTGGCAGGTTGGGGCTCCTCCTCCTCTGACTCAGCAGATTGTGAGTCACCCTTCTGTTCTGAAGTCTCACTTTCTGGAGGAGGGGACGCTTCCTTTAGGGCGCTTGGGTCCTCCTGTAGAGAATAACAGGTTAATAAGACTTAAGTTTATGTTTATTATAGTTTAAGTAATGTAAATTTTCAATTGTAAATTTCGGAAATAAAATTGGATTTTCACAATTTAACATTTAAAATAAAGCATTAATTTAATATTACTCTTAAATCGTTTTCAGAAACGAATAGGACATCTTGCAGACTTGGTAGATCGAAAGGTGCCAAATTAATTGATTTGTTTTTCTTTCTAAAGGAGATAATAACACCTATGCTAAGTTTAGTTATTTCACTCGACTCAGTCCATGAATACAAGCTCCAATATGGAGCAGGAAATAAAAAGCTACTTACAACAAGCAACACAGTATGTTGTCCCCCCGCGGAGACATGTAGCGGCGTGCGCTCGGCCAGCGCCGGCGTCACCGCGGCCGTCGGCTCCGACGCGTCGTTACACGCGCCCGTGCCCAGCTGGCCCTCCGACCCCATGCCCCACGACACTACGCTCCCTGGGACCATACAACAGGTGATGTCAGTACAAAAGAACATACATAATAACATTACGCCTTTTATCCCTGAAGGGGTAGGCAGAGGTGCACATTATGCCACTGTATTATGTAACACCCACTTTTCACTATTATGTTATGAGTCCCATGTAATAGGGGGTGAGCCTATTGCCATATACCGGGCACAATTCCAGACTCCGTGCTGCTATTGAGATTTTTTTTTAAAAACCCAGAAATACTTTGCCCGACCCGGGAATCGAACCCGAGACCCCTTACCCGGCAGTCGCACTTGCGACCACTCGGCCAACGAGGCAGTACAAATATAAAGTACAAAAGAAATGGCAATCAAATGGTAAATATTCAGGCAATGGTGGTGGTAATTTAGTTCAGTGGAATACCACTTTACCACACACACCACCACTGAATACAGTGGTAATGTTTTAACAAACATGTTATTATTTGATAGGAAATAAACAAATAGATGGATTGCTTGATGGTAAAAATATATGCCACAGACACTCGCATCAAGCCTTTTCCAACCAATTTGGTGTAGGCCTCTTTCAAATCCTTCCACTTAGTTCTATTTTGGGATGTTAGTATACAATTTTCCCTATATATGGACACTCGCAGTACCAGAAAAATTTGTCAGTTTATGATCAGGTCTTATACAGAAAGCACGGCTGTTTGATATGTAAAATTTTATCTAATTTAACACTAGATGACTTTTGTGTGTCATGATTGAAATGTTATACTAACCGGAGTCTGTGACGGCGAATGAGTTGCTGGTCCCGGCGGCTATGCTGATGACCTTCTTGTTTTGAAGCGCAGGGATTGGCTCCAATACCTCTGCGTCACCCGCGCGATCACCGAGACCAAGTCTGAGAATAAAAAAATTAATGAAGATCTTCATCCATGCGTACTAAGCTACCACATACAGGACAGAAATAAAATTTTAATATTATTGAGTTTTACAAATCCAATAATGTTGACAATAAACCCTGAATTTGTGTTTCAGATCGTAATTTAATGATAAATATTTTAAAATTCCGATATTATTTGTCTGTAGATAAAATCTCGAGTGAAGTTGTCCGCAGGCCCCCGTAGCTGCATGTATAGTCTGTATTACCTGCCGTACTCGCACCGTCCGATGGAGTAGACCTGCCCGGCGGCGTCGAGCGCGAGCGAGTGATGTTGTCCGCAGGCCCCCGTAGCTGCATGTATAGTCTGTATTACCTGCCGTACTCGCACCGTCCGATGGAGTAGACCTGCCCGGCGGCGTCGAGCGCGAGCGAGTGATGTTGTCCGCAGGCCCCCGTAGCTGCATGTATAGTCTGTATTACCTGCCGTACTCGCACCGTCCGATGGAGTAGACCTGCCCGGCGGCGTCGAGCGCGAGCGAGTGATGTTGTCCGCAGGCCACCGAGACCAAGTCTGAGAATAAAAAAATTAATGAAGATCTTCATCCATGCGTACTAAGCTACCACATACAGGACAGAAATAAAATTTTAATATTATTGAGTTTTACAAATCCAATAATGTTGACAATAAACCCTGAATTTGTGTTTCAGATCGTAATTTAATGATAAATATTTTAAAATTCCGATATTATTTGTCTGTAGATAAAATCTCGAGTGAAGTTGTCCGCAGGCCCCCGTAGCTGCATGTATAGTCTGTATTACCTGCCGTACTCGCACCGTCCGATGGAGTAGACCTGCCCGGCGGCGTCGAGCGCGAGCGAGTGAAGTTGTCCGCAGGCCCCCGTAGCTGCATGTATAGTCTGTATTACCTGCCGTACTCGCACCGTCCGATGGAGTAGACCTGCCCGGCGGCGTCGAGCGCGAGCGAGTGATGTTGTCCGCAGGCGACCCGCAGCCAGCTACATTGCTGGGCGGTGAACGCGTCGCACTCCGTCGGGGAGAATATCGCCGTCTTACGCTTCTCGCCTGTTATACCTGGAGAATACAATATAGTATTCAATAAGTATTGTTACCCGACAGTGCTGTGATTTTTTTGAGGGGGGAAAATCATCCAATGAATTCTCTCCCGCCCGGGTGAGGTGATAGGGAGTGTCAGACTCTTACTGACTAAAAACGACCCCATTCCTACTCCTGCACTTCAAACCGGAGCCCCGGCAACCCGGCAACCCGAGTCCTCCGTGGCTACGTAGTCAACAAGGGTTAGAAAATGTGTAAAGTGTTAAACACTTAAAAGCAGAGATGTCTGCTAGATGAAAAACTTTTACTTTGTATGAGTGTTTCAAAGTCTTAGTGCTATTTTAGATACTAATGAAACAGAGTTGTCTAGACGAACTTGTATTTGCTTTGTGCTAAGTATAATTTAATAAGTAACTTTAGTTATTCAGCCAGTGATTTGATCAGAAAATATGAGATGTTTTTCCAAAAGTTTTTGTTTTTGTTAACATTTTATCTTTTTTAACACAATATAGAAAAGAAAACACCTCCTGAACAGATATCAATGGCACCTTTGACAGTAAAATACCACAAAATATAGACTAACCAAGTTGTCCATAGTTGTTGAGTCCCCAGGCCAGCATCTTGTCATTGTTGTCGAGTACGAAGGTGGCGTGATATCCCGCCCAGATACGCGCGCCGCCGGCCTTCAGCGTCACCTTCGATGGAACCAGTAGGGCACCTGGAAAGGTAGAGTTTTATTAGTTTAATACTAGTTTTGGGGCTAACTGTGATTGAAAATGGATGTTCATGATTATCTCAGTCAAAAAGTTATTTAAGTAATTCCATAAAATCGAAGTGTAAAATAATAATGTTCTAGGAAGAACAATTTTTTAATGACTTCGAAAAATAGGTTCTTAACTTTTTAATATTTACTGGAACTTGTGAGGGTTTTTAACATTTTTGGACAAGATAGCTGTGTTCGTCATAAAATACTATTTGGGCGCTATCGCTTACACATACTTTTGACCACAGAAACAAGGAGACCACCATCATAGCCTGTCTTAGAACGGAGTTGAGTTTAAGTCACCATAAATGAATACTTACTGAATCCCTGCCTGGCGTCTCTGGAAGCGGACCGCTGCGACAGTCTGCCGAGCTGTCCTTGCTCTCCGCAACCCATTGTGTACACACCTCCTGAAGCCTGCAATATAAAACTTAGATTTAGTACTGGGATTTGTATAATTTACTCTACATCCTAGAAAGGTCTTTTGAACTGAAGGGGGTATGAAATTAATTTGTGATAAAAAGTTCAGTACTATAATGTGGGAACTATAGTATAATTGACAAAATGTGGGTGTCACATTTAACTTTATTTTGCCCTTTATCATGAACACACAAAAGGGGTTGTATAGGAACATAGTTGAGTTATGCTTAATAGGGATAAAACTCTAGTAAGTAATTCAATCAATAAAAATGTCTTACCGAGAGTATAACGAGATGATCTCCACCGGACGCGATGGCGACGGCAGTCTCCCCGATGTCGACGTGCACGGGCTCGCGACACGACTTGCCTTCACGGCCGCGGACTACAAGGCCCATACTGCCGTGCGAGTCCTGGAGAGGGAATAAAACGTTAGACTTTATCATGAACTAAGTCATGGATGACATATGTACAGAAAAGACGTCATCCCCAAGTTTATAAATATTATTTTTATTATAATTTCTTTTAATCTCTGAGATAACCATATCGAAGTACATTTCCTTTTTCCTCAAATAGAGCTGTTTGATGTTGTAAGTTGTAACTTTTAAAACAGTCAACCAAATTATTTCAGCATACAGTTACGAAAATAAACATTAATTTACTGCAGAAACTTTTAACGGATCTTACCCGGAAAGCACCCCAAGCGTAAACATCTCCAGTGTTGAGCAGCGCGGCGGAGTGCGAGTCCCCGGCCGCGACGGCCACGGCGGGCGCGGGCAGCCGCACGGCCGCCGGCGTGCCCTCCTCGCTCTCTCCCGACGTCGCCCGCCCCAGCGCGCCCTCGTCGTTACAGCCGAACGTCCATACCTGGGGGATACATTGCTGATTAACAACTTGTATTTACAACCTTCCAACTAGCCTATCTGAAAGTCATTGTTAGCCTATGTTCAACAGTGGATGTTTTGTGGCTAGTATACCGATGTACTATGATAAATTATTTAAGTTTGTGTTGGGAATTTGTTACATTGATTAGTTAAGATTGTTAAAAACCTTATAACAAGTCCATAACCTACCAAAATCCAACAGAGTTACACATAGTGGTTTATTGGAAAAAGGTCAGTAGCCAGGAGAATAAAAGAATTTAGACCTTCCCTAAATACTTATAAGTAGTCAAGTACTATAATAATATGAGTGATATTCTTGATTGTTTTACCGTTACTTTATCCTGGATACAATTACTAATCAACTACCAAATTACACACATGACATAACAAAAAAGTATGTAATAAAAATATTAGAACACAAAGTTCAAATTAATGAATGAAGGTTAAAGACAAAAAAGTTGTTCCTTATTATTTTAACTATTCAATGTTTTATCAAGGACGTTGAAAAAAGGGCAGACATAATGTGATTTAGAAATGATTGAAGCACGCAAATGTCAGTGGGTTATTTATGTGTGCGTGTGTAATAGGTCTCCACAACTTGGGAAAATGACAGACATCCTTTGTGTCAATGTGTATAATGTATATGTTCTGCATGTAAGTCTATAGTAGACAGGCCCCCAAAGTCTGTATTTCTTGATTAAAGAGATTGTGTCCACGTTTTTTTAAAGTCTTTGTGTTTAATAATTAACTGTCTTACCTTCCCACTGCTATCAAGAGCTATTGTATGCATGCCACCAGCATACACATCAACTATTTTGTCACCCAGCGCGGTCACATACTTGAATCTGCAATCAAAATAAAGTTATTTTAATAGTATCCATAGATATTACAAGGAAAAATATTGCTTCAGTACAAAGATTTTCAATAGAATAATCGTCTATTTTATTAGTTTGTAAACACATGAAATACGTAAAATACGGTTACGCCTTCACATCCTCACAAGAGGTTCATGTTCATGGAAAGACATCTCATATTTTCTCATGTAATAGCAGTTGTGGTTATTGTCATACACTAGGTGTAGTTGTAGACTGTCAATCTGCTTACTTGGCAGTCATAATTGCAACCATATGACTAATGAGGCAGTACAACTACATAATAATTCTAAAATTAATGGCAACTACATAAAAAATATTTTAAGTCCAACTCAGACATAATCATAATTAATTCTTTACTTAAATACCAAATCTTGATTTACTGATTTTATAATCTGACACTAGATTTTTTTTTAAAATAAATAATCTATAAATGAAGTAAAAAACAAATAGTTGTGGTAAACAACTTACTTGGAGGTCTCCACAACATCTTCCCCGAGCCCCAACTGGCCCACGTCGCCCTGTCCACATGCTAGCACACGGCCCCTCTTCTTTGGTGCCGATGGAATCTCCCATTGGATCGCTGGACAAATAAACACAACATTAATAAAATTTAACTAGAAAGAAGGAGGAAAGAAAGAATATTTATTTATTTATTTTACGCTTCATGCACAAAGTGTACATAAGGTGGACTTAATGCCGCAGGCATTTTCTCCCAGTTCCTTTGGGTGATGCAGAGAAGAAATATTGGTAGGAGCAAGAAGCAAGAAAGGATTTAATTGAATAATATTTATATAGCAGGTCTAATGCACAAATACTAAAAGACTACTCAATTTTAAGTTGTATTTAAACTGTCAAACACCAAGCGGTCACCGGTGACCGCAACCTATTGTTCTATAATTGTGTCTACAAAACCGGTACTCGACGAGTTAAATATAGTGCCATCTCTTTTATTTTAAAATTACTTGTAGTGACAGAACTATACTTAAGCACGATTTAAAATTAAGTAGCGTTTGAGTGTCCAACAAGGATTTATCTTTAAAACTGTAATCAAACCAGTCACCGAAATATGAATCAATGTCAAAGTCAAATCCTTTATTTCAATTAAACCATAATTTGGTACTTTTGAAACACCAATAAATACAAAATAAATAATAGTCTGTCAGTCAGTCCGACTGTATTCTCTAAATTAGCTTACTGCGATCCTCATGAAAATGGCCAGGTATAAGAATTTTTCCTTAATGCTCATTCATTCTCAGTGTCATAAGAGACTTTTTTTATAAATGGACATTGAAATATTGACTGAAAATCTAACACAAACAGCCATGATTATTTTCTGACATAAAAAATACCACACTTTACATAGTACAAAAAGTTACTTGTCTTTATAATTAGCATAATATCTTAGGATCCTAGTCATTTCAGTGGGTAGGTAATATATTTAGGTCCCATTTAAGGTTATTCTAGAATGCTATGTCAATAATATTAGTATTTTATGTGTGATATTTATGTCGATGACAATTTAGTGCAATGATCTCAACCTTTTTTGTGTAACCGTGTAAGCTCCGAAAATAGCACCGACTAATGAAGATTATTTATTTACTCCTGAGGTGTGAAGATTGAAATAAAAAAATGCCTTATAATTTGCTCATTAAAGGACAGCTAATATGTATGTGAACTTGTATGTTTGTAAACACACCCACGACACAGGAGACAACGCTAGTGTGGGGCAAAGCTTAAAAAAAATAGTTACATTGTTAAACTACAATAATGGCCTATTTTACAATACTTGACTTAATTTTGTCTTAGCTAACTTACATAATTTCAATTAATTTCTAAATATATTTGAAGTACATGAGAAACTTTAAATGATTCCTTAATTCCCAATTAACTCGTCGAGTACCGTCATTATAGACACAATTATAGAACAATAGGTTGCGGTCACCGATGACCGCTTGGTGTTTGACAGTTTAAAAAGCTGTCATTAAATGTATTGTATAGGTTCACTAAAGAATTCTTTTGTTATGTTCAGTGGGTGCGAGAGTTACTCTTCAGTATTTTTAGTAGCAATGAATCACCAAATCTATAATACTTACATGCTTCATAAGTATTCAGGAAATAAACTGCAGGTGTCAGTGTAAATTAAATTTGAACAGTCAAGTCTAGGCATAACTCGGAATTTAAGGTCACTCTTATCAAATATGATGACATAAATAATATAAAAAGACCAATGACATAATCCGTTTGTATACTTTAGTCATGTTTTATTTGAGAAGCGAGTATCAATGGATTTTATATTTAATACGTAGTGAGATGGAGATTTAAGATTTACATCTTTGTATATTTGATAAAAAAAAGTTTGCAAAGTATGCAACCTTATTTTTAATTTTCTTCAGAGTGTAAAGAATTTTTTTTTTGTATAAACTTTTTGTTAAATTATATATAATATGTTTAACGGCTTACTCACATAACTCTTTGATATTTAAAAGAAAAGTTGTATAATTTAATATACAAACTACTCAGGCTAAATAAACAAATTAGTTATTACTCAGTTCAAACAAATGTTATGTATGAAATGTATATTTTTATAGATAACGCCATGACTGTTATTTTCTTAGGTATTGTGTCAAGGTCAAACTGTGTTGCCATGCAAAAAAACTAATGTTTACCAATGATTTATTATGAAGATAAAATATTAAGATTGTGTTGAAGTAGGTCCGTTAAGGGTTGCTTATCTATTAGATTACTGTTTTCCAAAGACAAGTTCATAGTCTAAATGTCTAATTCATGGAAACCTATTAAAATATATGAATTGCAAGTAGTCTAGTAATGTTAGCTCAGAGTACCAGCAATGCATGTTGTTAAGATTAGTTCTTGAATTTTAAATAATGTTTATGTTGCATGACAGAGAATATCTGGTACCTAACACAATAAATATCTTATCAAATTACAAAGTGTAGTTACCAAGCATGTGTCAATAAGTTATGTTTAAAAATATTACATAATATTTAGAAATATAGGTCATTATTTGCCAGCATATAATATGAAAAAAGATAATGCAAAAAATAGTTGTAGTATTGTAAACTTTATGCTTATCTCTGTAGTTAGTTGCCTAATGGTACAATAATGGCCTGCTTTTAGTCTCATTAGACAACTTTGAACAACGTTACAATGATAAATACACTCCAATTCAACTTACAGACAATTATTTTAGCATAAGTTAGTCACAGTTATTCACGAAATATACTAATTTATGTGAAAAATACATTTGTAAATAATGTGAAGCGTCGCCGTCCGAGTTAACTAACCTCAAAATATTCCATTCGTGCGCGACGCTTACATAACCAACGCGATATTTACGCATAAACATCATTCTAAATGACTAAACATAGCAATCCAAATCCCATTTCAAGTACAGTTACGTGTAAACACAAAAAATAACTTTTATGGAGTGTTCGCGCCTTTCGTTTCCCGCCATCGCGTTTGACAGGTCATTGACATAGGCAAAAATGTAAAGAAAACAATTGCAAAATGCCTTTGCATGTACTCACCTCCACGTTTTTTCTTGTTTTTAGCCGCCGTTGACGCCGTAGCGGCGGACGATTTGGACGCAGCACGTTTAACGCCTCGCGCCGCCGGCATTATGCCTGCAATATTGCAACCAACGCGTCAATAAACACAGCACACAGCGCGGCAAAACACCCCGTCTTGATGGCTTCGTTCCGATGACGTTTTAACTACTTTTGTAATCGCATTATCGCCTTATTTCCACATCGGCTGCATCTGCATCAATTACAAGGCTGCGGCCTCATAGATTTATGCAAAGCGCAGATAGGTTATATTATGCATTTGTATAGGCACTGCACAGGGAACCAAACAACGCGTTCATACCATACGGTGAAGCGTTTATCGACGCCAGAATTATTTACTTACTGTTTTATTATAAATTTCTGAGCAACACCGCGAATTAATTAACAGATATCACTTTAGAATAAGAGATGACGTATTAATTTTAACACAGTACGAATCTCGTACATCTCCCTCCGCTCGCTTCGCTTGGCCCGAGTGACGTAATCACGTGAATCGGATTCAGCCACAGAATCGAAATGTCATAATTCGAATACTAAAATACTATTGGCAGTCGATATCAAAGGTGGTTGGTATCATCTATTAAGTTAGTAATAATTATAAAACATTTGATAAATACAATTAATTTAACCATAGAATTAAAAATAATACAGAAATTAAAAATAGTTAATTCACGAATATGTCATCGATCTTTATTAAAAAGATTCGATTAAAAAATACTTCCAGTCACTTCCCTATGCACCATAGACAAAAGTATCTGGAAAGTATTTGCACTATGTTGCCACGTTTTTGCCTTATATTTCCTTATTATCTGTTTCAAAAGTTTATTACAATGTGTGGAATGAAAGACTTTTAAATTACTAAGTACTTGAAAGTGAATTTAAAAAAATAATTGAAACGTTGAATTTGTGTAGTGTGGGAGAGCCATGCCTCGGCACGAATGGGCTGGCTCGACCGGAACCGGAGTGATACCACGGCCTCACAGAAAACCAACGTGAAGCAACTCTTGCATTGTGTTTCGTCGTATGAGTGAGGTTACCGGAGGCCCAATTACCCCCTCCCCTTTTCCAATCTCCCCAATAAAATAAATAAATATTATTGATTCTAAATCGCTAGAATATGTTCATTGACGCATGTTTGTTTTGCACATAAATGTGAACGCACATATGTATGTGTACTTGTATGTTTGTAAACGCACCCACGACACAGGAGAAAATCCTAGTGTGGGGCAACGTTTTTTATAAGAAATAAAGAAAAATAAAAAATAAAGATGACTTCTGACGCATAATATTTATTTATTTATTTACTTCAATTAAGTAGTATAACATTACAGTCATAAAACCAAGGCGTTGTACATTTCAATAAATATAAAAGAAAAAAAAAACAATACAGAACACTCCTTAAATAAAACAAACAACAACATATTATGACATATCGTAGGCACTACTAGTGTTGTAAAACTGCCGTATAATAGTATAATACCAAAAAGCTCAGTATAATACCGATATCTCGCAGTAACTTACCATTAACTTACGGTAAGATTCATGGTATTTTCTATTTTAATTTGATTTTAAGATCCTATTTAAATATGAACAGTTCTAGTTTAAAAAATTAGTTATAGATTGTACGCTATACCTAGCTATTTTAGAATGACTAATTGTATTTTTTGACGCATACAACATTGTTAGTATATAGTTCGTCGCCAGGAACACATGCCAACAGGATAAATCGAGTTTTATAAAAATGTAATTAATTTAAGAAGTGGTAATAATACCGTATCTTACGGTAGCTACTTTTCATATTATACCGTTGGGTACATTTTATATAATACAGAACTTCATCATCAATAACACAATGGAGATATTAAATATTATGTTTAATATCTTGTAATATTATGTTATTACATTCAGAAACCAAACATTAGTGTGGTTTTTCAAATGTTAAAAACCATAATTTACAATTTCGTAAAAAATAAATTCATAGTTAAATTTAAAATTGATCACATTCAGATTACCAAGAAGTTTCCGAAGGAAACTGCAAATACAAGTTTCCTCATTTTGGTTTACTATATAAGGAATGGCAACATTTGTAATTGCAATCAACTTCTATTGTCTTTGGAATAAATGACGCGGTTCTAATGAGATGATGCCGCGCGTCGCCGGGCGCCCGCAAATTATTGATAGATATACCTATAGATTTGATATAATTATTATGTACTTATGGTGCATTTTATGCAAATAAAAACATAAAGCCATCTATGAACTAAATGCAACACATTGAATTATTTAGGAAATTAATAATAATCCATAATTATTAATTTCATCACTTTATTATGATTAGATCTTCTTTTACTTCTGACTAATTCAGAAAATTAATCATCTCTCAGAATAAACAAGTCGTATTTAACCCTTCAAAGCGTTTTCGGGGGGGTGACAGACTGCTATAGTTCGTGCACTGCGTAGCATACGCATTGTTATGATACTATATTTAAATATAAACCTCCCACAATGCTTTTGTGGCCCTGTTTGTCCCAAATTATTGTTTTCACGAAGATTATTTTGGTTTTTGAGTACAACATTTGACGTCAAATCTACGTCACATAAACTTAGTTTACCCAATGCCGTACTAGATGGCGTTGCATGTCCTTCGTCTTTCTTTGTGGAAAGAAGATTAAAAAAATTTTTTTTTCGTTACCTATTGTTTTATTGTTTTCTGCATTCAGAAAAGTTTTAGAAAGCGCAAAATTTAATAACAATTTTAGTTTTCGCCAGAATCTTTGGGCCAGGTGACAGGTAGACAGAGCAACCATAATGTGACTATTTACTCTCTGCATAAAAATGTAGGTACTACTCAACGTTTTTTCGACTTCATTTCGTTATGAATTAGTGAGTTCTGAGGTCTTAGTACGAGTTTTATTTACGTATAAAGTAATCGTATCGAGTACGCGTTCGGCGCTCTGATTGGTTGGTTCTTTGGCGCCGGCCAATCAGAGTGCCGAATGCGTACTCGTTTCGAATACTTTAAACGTAAATGAAACTCGTACTAAGGCCTCTGTAACCCAAAACTATGCATTACCACCGTGTGGTCTCTGTCAAATGTGAAAAAGTGGATTCATATGATGCCCACGTTAAGTGTAGTGTTTTGGTCAGTGGCGTAACTACAGAGTGATATGTCGGCAACATAATTGTCATGGTCCCCGAGCTAGAAGGAGGGGGGCTCCCATTCAGATGAATTCATTTCAATTAGGTACTCTTTTTTTTCCGACTTATATGTATTATGTACCTACTTTCGAAGATTATTTAGACACCACTGATAACCGGTGAAGGAACACATCGTGAGGAAACCTGGGCTTATAATTTCTAATAATATGTTTTAATTTTACTGTGTGAGAAGAGGCTTTGCTTAATAGTGGGCACTTATGGGCTGTTGATGACGACTCTCTTTTTATTGAGAACGGGAGCCTATCCGATGAATATGCCAACGGGCCTCGAACGGTATAGTTACCCCACGGCAGTAACGACTGGTGTTACAAAAAGTATTCCACTGCCGGTACCATACAGCTGGCCCACAGTAACGAGAAATAATTAGGTTCGTAAAGACATGATCAATATATTACCAAGTTTGTTGGAACCTAATATAAATGGTAATGTAACAAAATTACGTGTTTTACATAATTTCCTTTACAGCAATTTCTGTACCTCATGGTGCCAGGAGCGTTGTTTGTGATGCATTATTTGTATTTGTTTCTGTATTTAGTAGCTATAGGAACTTTGTTATAAACAATACAACTTGTATTCTCACCTAAGTGGGAGGTAGAAGTACCTACTTATGATCTACATACTACACTATACCTTTTTTTTTTATCAGCTAAAGTTCACTTTCATGTTTTGACCACGGACTAAATACCTAATTATATTTGCCTCTTGCAATCACGCTTTTATAAATTCGTATACCTACAGCGGTTGAACTTGATGTTAAGCTATCAGCACCGACTAGAGGAGTTATAAATGTGTAGCCGGCCAAAGGTGTTGTTTTATTAGTCTCTGGTCACTCGTCTCAAATTACCCGGGACAGGCGGTAGGTCAGTAATGACGTCGTGAATAATCAACGTGTGGAAGATACGTGTAATATAATAAAGAGTAACGAAAGAAGTATAATAAAGAGCGAATATGAATCTGGTGGTCGGCAGAGGGCGATGGAGGGCCTAGCTAGACGGACATGTTAAAGAAGGGCCAAATTTACCGACGAGCATGCATGAAAAGACTGATGACTTTTGATAATGTAAGAGTCGTAGCAGTTGGCGTTCCATACTCTCTGCCCCATGGGGGACAGGCGTGAAGTTATGTATGTATGTAACTTATCTTCTCACGGGTATAGTAAGTGCCGACTAACCGACTACACAAAAAACAAAATGTCTCCGGTGCACATTGTCAGACATCGAACAGTTTCAGATTATCCTTTACAATCATTGCTTACTTTTGTGTCCTTGTACCCAATAAGATGGTGCAGAGGAGAGTCCACAGAGGTCTTCCATCTCGAATGGTCTTGAGGTTCCTACTTCACCTCGCTCCACGTCATATCGATGCTCGTTTTTTTTGCCATCACAGTGCGCCGCCAGGTCTGATAAGGACGACCATTTTTTTTTATGGCATAAGCCGGTAAACGAGCAGACGGATCACCTGATGGTAAGCAATCGGCGTCGCCCATGGACACCTGGAACTCCAGAAGCGTTACAAGTGCGTTACCGGCCTTTTGGGGATTAGGAGTTTGAGGAGCGTTGGGGATTCAGGAATTGCGGAGATTGGAGAAGGGGAGGGTAATTGGGCCTCCGGTCACCTCACTCACACGACGAAACAACGCTAACGTTGCTTCACGTCGGTTTTCTGTGAGGCCGTGGTATCACTCCGGTCGAGCCGGCCCATTCGTGCCGAAGCATGGCTGTCCCACACTTAAACCATACATACTTTAAAGCCGAACGAGCACCGGCACCTAAAATGAGTCAGTTTAGTTCAGCTCACATAGTTGCACCAGTTTTACAAATGACGCATATTGGCTGGCATAGTTTGCGGTGGACGTATTAGCAGCTGACGATGGCTTTAAATTGAGGATTTTAAAAAGCAACCAGTACTAAGTATCCTATTATAATATGGGTCTGGGTGAGGCGGGAGGGAGTGTCAGACTCTTACTGACTAAAAAGCTAAAAACCACCCCGTTCCTTCTCCTGCACGTCGAGCCGGAGCCCCGATTACCCGTTAGGTTCTCCGCGACTAGATTATGGTCTAAGAGTGAGTATATCTAGTTTTTTGAGCCCAAGAATCGAACCATCAGTCCTTAGCTCAGTTGTCCGTGGCCGGTATAAGGGACCTCGTGTGTGACGTACGTCGGTGTCCGGTTACCGCGCGGTGGGCCTGTCGTGTCCGCTGTATACGCACTGATACAGAGTATTACGAAAGTACTGGCTGTGGTTCTTTTAGAATAAATTTAGTTTATGGTC